TGTTAGGATAATTCAAGTGCGGAAAGGTAACTTGACTTACAAGCTCACGCATCAGACTGCGCGAAGCGAAGTAGGTGTGAAGAAAAGTGACAATGTAATGCTTCGGCAGAATCAACCCTATGCCAAAAATGACAGCCGCGGGGGTGGAGCCGATGTGGCTTCGCAATGTGTAGAAACTTGCTGCAGGCATAACAAACCGACCGATGATTGCAACCATCGAGAGAAGGTAGACACCAAGCATTATACCAATCTTCTTTGCATAGCGGTTGAAGAATGACTTCAGTGCTTTGGCAATTGGCCGAGAAACGCTGGAGCCACCTTTGGCAGAGTACTGGACAAGATTGGGGTAGTATAGAGAACGGAGGCGACGGGGGTCTTCGGATTTATGTTTCTGGATGTATGTAGTGTCCACCCATTGAATGGACTGCATGAAGCTAGTGAGACGGTCAGCGAAGTATCAATAAGTTAGTAGCTAAGAGAATGTACATTTCATCCAGCGTAGGCGTCACATATCGCATCAGGGTCATGAGCAAAAATGGCACCTGTAGGACAGACTTGGACATAAATTCCAATCCACTGAGAAGCTTTTCGTCCCAGACTGCCTGTTCAAGGTTGATCACCCATGATACGAGGTATATGGAGAATTTCACGCTGAGGATCTTGAGTTCAAGTCAGCGAAAACCCTCCGTGCGGGACTGTATAGAAACATACTGGAATCTGAATGATCAATTGGATAACGATGCCGATGGCTATCGCAAGAGCTGCTTGGCGGAAATGGTCGTACTTGAATAGTTCAGGGTTTCCTAATGCACGAACAGCTGCAAACCTCAGTTAGCAATGGCCTAGAATGCGTTCCCATCCAGGGGATCATTCCAAGGCAAATGACAAAATGTGGCTGGCTCAATGCAGCACAAGCACCTGATCAATGTTTTGGCATAGCCGACTCCAACGTTGATAGAATTTCTTGTGTAGCCTGGAATCCGCCAAGGTATTTCAACCCAATTCCCCTGGATGTTCGGGGAAAACACATAGGGTGACATACTGCCTACTATTGTGAGCTGAAAGCCGCGGATCACAGCGTTCGGCTCGAAGTTCGACATCGTTGCTTTCAATGCCGTGGAAGAACCAAGTAAATACCACCACGGATAGCCCCAGAAGTGTCGAAACAGTTAAGAATCTAGCAACAACGCATTCTTGAAAGTGAGACCAAAAATAACTGTGGGTGCCTGCTCAGCTGGCATTGAAAGCTGCGTCATGGTCACCTGATCTCGGCCTAAGGCAACAGTGCATCTCCCCGCGCGCAATAGGCCGCGCAACTGCAGATAAGCCCCGTCTCCTGCGTCTCCTGCATCGGATACCTGGCTTCTCACATTAGTATCCTGTACAAACATGTTTGTACATTAATATCCCCTTTGCTCCTTATTGATCGCATCCATGAACCATGCCCGAGTCTCCAAGTGAGCTACACTCCCTCCGCCGCTCTGCCACCCTTCCAACCAAATTAAATCCTCTCGCGCGACGTCGCGCGAGCGTGCCGAATACCCCCGAACATGTAATTTTCTATCACCCATCCGCGAAAATCGTTCATTTCTCCCCAAGAGCACTCGCCCCTATCCCATCCAGTTCTACGCCGTCCGACTTCGACTACCCGGTCGATACTATCGAGACACTCCCTTGGCGCTCTGCAACTGAGCGAACGGTCGCAACAGCACCACTGAGGTTAGAGAAGGTCCATGGCTCGACAGCGTTTCTGAAATGTGGAAATGTTGTCCACGCAATTCTGAAGAATTCCCAGTGTTGGTGTGTTGACGGGGTATCGAAGTTTGTTTTACGCATTCGCCCTCTTACATACTATCGCATCGAAATACCATACGAGACAGAAGAGCACCGGAGTTTGGTGCGGGATCTGAAGATCGCATTGCCAACAGTGCTTCGATATGAAGTCACGCCATGCCCTTTTAAACGCTCTTTCAGCGTTGAGCTCCCGAACGACGCAATGGCACCTCGGCGCAAAAAGGCTTGGCAACCGAAAGATCAGAGAGAAAGAGTACCGACCGTTCTAGAACCTCCACGAGAGACACCATCGCCCTCTTCAATCAGGTCGGATTGTATCGATTCCGCCAGTACCGGGGATGACACCGACGGAGACCTAACCGATGACAGTTGTTTCACTTCAAACAAAGCGAGCAGTACAATTTTGGAGACTATTCCCGTCGATCGGGCGTCCTCTCCCGTTGAGGCTTTGAGTCCTTCCCTATACCAAGGGCCTCCTAGGCGCTCGGTGACTGAAGTACCGCAAACTTTCACTAGCCTGCTTGCAAAGTTTCAGGCTACATCAGGCGCAGACGATGAACATGATATTGATCCTATGCTCAAGCCAGAATGTGCATCTAGTACCGATGCTGCACTTCAAATTGATCATGAGCTCAAGGTTACAGACCAACTTGAACCTGAGTTTGTAGCTGATAGTGGAGTCGAAGCCGGCACTGAATCCGAACCAGTCCTAGATTCTGAATTCAGAGCCGAAGCGGAGCTTGAGACCAAGTCTGAGCTCTGGTTAGAAGCTATATCACCAGCCGAACCTTCCAAGGAATCTGCAGTTGAAGCCGAGCCCAGCATCCCAATTGAGACTGACGCAGTGTTGACGGTTGAAACTTCAGAGGAAGTTGTATTCCGTGCTGAAACTACCAGTGCAGTGGGGACTAAGGCAGTACTGGAAGACAATCTCGTGAATGTCGAAGAAGTTCAACGCGTGCAACCCACTGCCAAGCTCACACTGGAGGTCGACCATGATGCATCCTTTGCGTCCAGTCCCGAGTCATTCCATTCTGCTGAGCCTCAATCGCCGGATTCAGTCTCTACTCATCCTACATCTGTGGGAGGCCACGATTTGCCTGAATCAGAAGAGATTTCCAACCTTTCGAACATAAAACACCTTATTTCTGGATTGGAAGCGTCAGCGGATCAGTGTAAGATGCCACAGCCCCCAACACTCGGTATTCCTCAAGGCGACAACGTTCCCAATCCAACCAGCTTGCTTCATCCTCCATCAATGCATAGCATAAGCTCGAATAATGTGCCCAGGCGCTTCGCAGATGCGTTCGCAGACACCTCACCCTCAATGGCCCCTACAAACAATGGACACCGACCCAGTCGTTTTACGGATGTATCTGCGGACACTCAACCGCGGCCAAACATTCGTGCTAAGGTCGCTGCGTTGAACACTGATCTCGACCACATGAGTTCCGAGTTCCGGCGCCGGGCAAAAGCCACAAGAGAGCGTGACGTTTCCCCTATGCCTCATTCTTCGGCATTGTACCAACCATCCAGTGATGGCTCATCCTTCATTTCCAAGGCTATCACCTTAGTATTGATCCCCCCGGCCTATCTTTTTGTCATTCTCCTTCATATCGCTGCGCGCATTGTCATCCACCCAACCATCCAGCCGACTATCAGCTCCCCACCGAGTGAACCAAATTCTCATTCTCAGCCAAAAAAGAAGGATCCAGCCACAGAGGATGACTTCAGCTTTCCACTGGAACCTCAAACTTCCTCGGAATATGAGGATGCTGAACTCTTCAGAAAACTCGACCCTTGGGATCTGGACTAGTTGGGTGGTTGAAATGCCCCCTTTTAACTTGCTTGCTCTTTTTTCTTCTTCCTCTGGATCTTCGTCATCCTACGCTCGGTTTAATGCTTACTCTTTGTATTCCTCCCTCTTTACACAATCTTAATGTTTCTCTTGTTATGATATTTGGCGCTGATTTTGCACGACTCATGGGTGGATATATGACATGGTTTGTATTCTACTGAACTTAAGTATTCTAGCGTTACGTGTATCATTGAGGGGAAATCCGGGGTCATGTCAGAAACGAATAATTAATTGACACAAATACGCTCTTTCAATTTCCAGACGGTTCTATTCTATCCAGCGCCATTGACCCTCTACATAATCTGACCAAAGACGTTAGAGATGAAACCTACGAATAGGGGTGTGTCGAACTGTAATGCTATAAGCCGTTCCTTTCTTTTCCCGTCCCACAGGACTCGTATAAACAGACACGCCCGTAAGCTACAAGCGCAAAGGAATATGTACACTTGATAGGAAGTTCGCATTTAAAAATTGAGAAGAAGAAGCCAGAACCACCATCGAACGCCAGCTAATGCATGAGAAAACGAAGCCATGAAACACATCGCGTGCCAGGTCCGAGCCGAGTACACAAAGACGATGATGCCATTTGAGAAATAGACCGAAGAGCAAATCTATGCTTTTGTGACCTTAGCAGCTCCGCCCTTGGTCTTGGCCTTGCGGCCTCGGCGATCTCGCTTCTTCAACCCAGTCATTCCTGTCTTGCAGACCTCGGCATAGCGAACGTAGAAGGCCTCAATATCATCGGGACTGACAATGGTCGAGAGCTTGACCTTTGATGCCTTTTTCATGCTGATCTTGGTTGCCTCGCTTGCATTCTTGAGGTTCGGTGTATTGGTGTTTCCATCAGTTGCTCGGATGAGGATAGAGGGTTGGGAGTTTGTGGTAGTGGCGCCGGGGACATCGATGAGAGGTTTTTGAGTGAGATTGACCGAGCCATGAAGATTTTGGGAGGTTTTGGAGAGCAGATCTGCGAGAGATTTGAAGAACTAAAGATGATCGGTGTTAGCGATATAGCTCGGAACTGGTGGTCGTGGTCGCATGCGCGGAGGTGTAGCGGTCAGGTAAACACCAATTTCAATATTTACCTCGTCGTGTCCCAAATGTGGGGCCATGTTTAGAGATCTTTTATGAGCCGCGCGATAATTAAATGATCCGAAAGCTGGAGCAGATGATCAATATACAATTGACAGCTGGGCACAACTCACAGTGGGGGAGAAACTCCGCTGTGGGTGCCTCTCCGCCTTTGTTTTGGGGCAGCAGAAAAGTGAAAAAGTTGTCTACCGCCCGGCGTACCTGATAGAGACATTTGAACTCTTCAAGAGCAGACGAAACATCTCAGAGGACCAAGATGCCCAAAATACCCCGCCCTCGGCATAATACGACGGCCTTGCCTCGGGATCTACGATCCGAGCTCGGAATCCGCGATGTCTACGGTGACAAGAAGCGCCGCCTCAATGGACCTGCCTCGCGCAAAGAACGCCGCCAAAATGAGCGTACGCAGAAGAAATCTCGACATGCAGCCCCGCCGAACAAGAAGACCTTTGAGCGTCCGCAGCAGCGACTTCAGCAGAAACCTCGACAGCAGGCTGAGGAGGAAAGCGACGAGGACGAGGATCTCGACGATATGGATCTCGACGAGGGTCCCAGTGTGCAGGCAAAGTCCAAATCCACGAAAGAGGCCGCGAAGAAGCCCAAATCTATTCTGAAGAAAGCAGCAGTCAAGCAAGACTCAGAGTCCGAGTCCGAGTCCGAGTCCGGGTTCGGGTCAGAAATCGACCTCAATGAGGACGAGGATGAGGATGAAGATGACGAGTCTGAAGATGAGTCCGAAGATGAGCCCGAAGATGAGTCTGAAGACGATGAACCCAAAGAAACCGAAGCCCACATCCCAGGATCGGTCAAGTCTAAATTGGCGCAAGACGATGCTGAGATTGCTGCATTGGAGAAAAAGCTTGGCCTCAAGAAAGGAGGTAAACTACCAAAGGCCTTTGAGGAGGATGGACTAGACGACTTGCTAGGGGATCTGGGTGGCGGCGGTGGCGATGGCTCAGAGGACGAGAGCAAAAAGCGCAAACGAGAAGCCGATGAGTGGCTACGAAGTAAGAGACTCAAGGCCAAGAGCTTGCAAGCCCAACAACTCGAAGAAGACGACAGTGAAATGGATAGCGCTGAGGATTTCGATCTCGACGACGAAATCTTTGGAGGCGATGACGCCGAAGGCAGTGATTTTGATGGTTTTGACGAGGAAGAACGCAAAGAACCAAAAAAGAAAGAAAACCCATATATCGCCCCGGTCACGAAACCCGAACCGACCGCCCAAAAGTATATCCCACCTTCATTACGAGGTCGCTCCGACCCGGAAAGCGAATCCCTCACTCGTCTCAAGCGCCAGGCCCAGGGACATCTCAACAAGTTGTCCGAGGCCAATATGCTCTCGATTGTTGCCGAATTTGAAAAGCTTTACCGCGATTACCCGCGCCAACACGTCACATCTACCTTGATCAGCCTGCTAATGGGCCTGATTTGTGAGAGGGCTGGCCTTCAGGACACCTTCCTCATTTTACATGCTGGTTTCATTGCGGCATTGTATAAGCTCATGGGAATGGACGTTGGCGCGGAGATTATCCAAACTGTTGTCGAAACGTTGGACGCTGATGGCGACGAGCGTGGAAAGTTCCAGGGAAAAGAAGCTACTAACTTGGTCTCTCTTCTCTCGCAACTTTACAACTTCCACGTCATTGGTTCTTCCTTGATGTTTGATTACGTTCGTCTTTTCGTACAGGAAATCACGGAATCGAACACCGAACTCTTGCTCAAGGTGATTCGGAGTAAGTGATATATCTAGCCCACGATAAAACTACTAGCCCTCTAACATGTCGCAGATTCTGGCCCTCAACTCCGACTCGATGACCCGTCTGCACTCAAGGATATCGTATTGCTCATTCAGCCCGCCGTTACAAAAGTCGGCGAGGACCGTCTGTCTGTTCGAACAAAGTTCATGATCGACCTGATCACGGATTTGAAAAACAACCGCTCGAAAGCTTCAGCTGCAGCTGGCGCAGGTATCACCACAGAACATATTACCAAAATGCGCAAGATTTTGGGCTCCCTGAACAACTCGCGGACGATTCGCGCATCCGAACCTATTAACATTTCCCGCGAAGATATCCACAACTCCTCCAAGAAGGGCAAGTGGTGGTTGGTCGGCGCAAGCTGGAAGGATGATCCCCTTGTAACAGCACAGCGCGAGATGGCTGGTGTACAAATGCCCCAACCTCAGGTCGAAGATGATGACAGTGACGGCGAACCTGACTTTGGAGTCCTCGCCCGAGCCCACCGCATGAACACAGACGTTCGTCGGTCGATTTTTGTTGCTATCATGTCTGCCAATGACTTCCAAGATGCAAATGTCCGACTCATGAAACTTCGTCTCAAGCGGGCACAGGAGTTTGAAATCCCTCGTGTCCTCTTGCACTGTGCCATGGAGGAAGATGCCTATAACCCGTATTATTCTCTGATTGCGCGTCGGATTTGCGGTGAACAGGGTCGACGCATCAAAGTGTCCTTTATGTTTGCGCTTTGGAATATGTTCAAGAAGATGGGTGAGCGAGGTGATATCGACGAAGACGAAGACAACGACTTCGATCCAGACGATGAGGAGAACGGTGTTAGCATGAAGTCAGTGGTCAACCTGGCCAAGATGTTCAGCGCCCTCATCATGGACGGCAGCTTGACATTGAGCATTTTGAAGAATCTCAACTTCGCCTACCTGCAGCCCAAGACTAAGACGTTTGTTGAAGTCTTGATCATCAGTATCATTCAACAATCTCAAAAGTCCAAGACGAAGAAGAAATCCAAGAGCTCCACGCCAGATGAGCCTGAGAAGAATGAAGCGGCTTTGATGCAAATATTCCTGCGTGTCAAGGAGACACCACACATTGCTAAGGGCCTTATCTTTTTTGTGCGAAAGGTTGTCGCAAAGAGTGATATTGTGTCTCCCGAGGAACTGAAACTAGTTCGGTGGGGATGCAATGTGGCTACAGATGCCCTTAAGGCTGTGGCGGACTAAAAGTTGCATTGGATTCATCTTGCAATTGCATATAGAATATACCCAATTTGTTACGCTGCTCCTGATTTGTTTATGTTCCACGCTTGTCCCGAACTTCGAAATCGCCATTGCTCATTTCAACAAGAGAAGAATGAAACGAGTGATGTACTCTGTACCCCGTACGGAGTACAAATCCAGCATTTCCAAGGTTCACCTATCCTACTTCTACTGTTCGAAATATATGAAATTCTGGGCTAGACTTCCAAATAAGACGCTAAACAGAACTGATGGAATAGTAAAGCGAACTTGTTGAGCATTTTCCTCCACGAGGAGTTCTGCATACCGCCATTACGATTCCAATATCGGGTTGTTTATTGTTAGATGAACCTAAATGATCCCTTTTGCCTGGAAAAATGTTGGTCGTTGAGATTTGGGTGTTTCACATGGACCAAGTGAACTTTATTTTGTTGGGACATAAATCATAAGCCATGATACACAGAACTTGTATGTAAGTCTATGAAATATAATGGAAGGGAAATGATACACCTCCCTTATACCGATATAAATCGCCGTTAGTCATTCAGCTGCTTCAATGAGGTCCCATTCCATGGCTATGAGCCAGCCCTCTTTTGTCTCTAGAGATCCGCCATTTTCAGATGGACCACGCTCCGAAACGTAACTAGATACCTGACCAGGTGGTCGACGTTCGTAGGAGTCATTCCCGAGCTCCAGACTCCAGTTGAGCCCTCTGTGAATCCCCACTAAATCCCCTTTTCGCAGTTGGGGTGTTGTAATTGCATCAGAACGCGAGGGATTTTGACGCACAACGGATTTAGATCGCGAAGTTCCCATAATCATGATATTCAAGACAGAATCAGGATTTCTCCCTTGTAGATGATTCCCAGTAAGTAGTTCCGCTTGAAGAAAGGCCAGAGAGCCACAGCCACTCATAGATGACTGGCTGACATGAATAACACGCGCAGTTAGGAGATATGCATTCGGCTTTTCCAGCGAGTCTGAGGCCTGGCCCAAGGGAGGTTTTGGAAGCTGGTCACGTTTCGTCCCCATTTCTAAGATCCAACCGCGTGCCTCAGCGGCCATTCCGCCAGGGATGTAATTGGACACACCGGCTCGGTTTCGACCACGGCGATGCAGTGTGCGCGAGGAAGGAGAGAAGGGTGCAGGGATATCCTCTGCATCCGGATTCGGCGACGGCGAGCGAGGCAAAACAAAAACCGGTTTTCGTCTCTCAGACGGCGATATGCCCGGTTCGTCTAGTTTGAATCTGGGCGCGGACTGGCTGCTGGGAGGTCTCGCCGCCGAGGAAAGCATAAATCGAGGACGACTGCGGAATGGTGTTTTCATATTGCTTGGGGTCGATGCGGCTTGTGCAAATAGACATGCACTCGGTGCGGGGGTTCTCTCCATACCCATGTCCCATGCCGTAGTGCTTTGCCTGCTTTTATCAGGGAAAGCGATGGGATCGGCTGGAGGATCCACGGATTCGGGTGGTGATGACAATATTGGATCGATATGTGTCAGATTTCTTCGATGGGAGGGTGTCACCCCCTCTACACGACGCCGTTTATTCCCATCCCTGACCGGCGAAAACAGCGCGTCGAACTCAGCGTCCAGGATTCCCGGAGTCTCTGCTTCTTCGGGGGGAGTGCTGTGTATGGCATCGTCTGGTAGTTCGTCCGCATCTCTCCCTCCGGTTCGCACATCTCCTATGCCTGCGGCATCATCAGAGTCCTCAATCACGTCGCGTTGTTGACGCGAGCCGGGGGCAGTTTGGGTAACAGGCAGGTTACTCGCGACTTTACGCGTTGAAGATGGCCCATCATCATCTATGATATCAAGATCATCATCTTCCTTCTGTGCGACACTTTGTGATAGTAGAAACCGGGGTGTGGAGGCAAACTGAGGGCCACTGCGGCGCGTGGATGGGTTGCGACGGGCGAGGCGGAATGGTGATGGAGTCTGTGGCCAGTCACATTAGCCTGGGGAATCGATAAATCACGCCGTAGACATACTGCCGGGAAAGGCATTTATCTAAAGTATCAGAATTGTGGAGCGAACACCATGGCGCTGCTTCAATGCACCCAGTCGGATAGATCTGTACTGAGTGGACTCCGTACATAAAAAGCGGACTGATTTCTCAGGCATGTAACCCCGCTTGTGAGTTAGCTACTAAACCTATTTAGGACTGTCCTACTAAGCCTATTTAGGAACTAAGTTAGAGCTTCAGTACATATATTCTTCACTCCAGGCATTCCTCCTTCTTTTACTTTTTTTTACCAATTTCTAATATCTGGGCTCTGCAACACAACTTTGCATCTCACATCTCTTTCTTTTTTTTTCTTTCTTAAACTCAAGTCTCAAGTGTTCACAACTCGGCTCGTCCTTCTTGTCCTCGCTCCTATCTTTGACCCAACTATCAGATCCCTGTTCTTGTGGCCTGTGGTACCAAGATGCCATCCTATAAAGTCGTCAAGAAGAAGGCGACGACCAAACAAAGAATGATGAACGTGATCCTCGACTTACAAGATCAAGCGCACAAGCTCTCCTTCTCCCAGCTAAAGGCGTCAATTGCAATTTTCGCATCAACAATTCAAGGAGACCAGTCCGAGCTACCGACAGTTGCAATTTCTTCTTTGAATCGCGGTGATGTCCAAGTTATGCTCAGTTGAATCATTCACTGAGCAACCTTGAGTTCCGCAACAAACCTCCGGTTGAGCTTTCCCCGATCTGTGGTACGTATCCCTTAAGGAATATTCAATATAAATTAGTTTACTCTCACTTATCTTTCAACTTTTGAGAGGTATTATACTGATTCGTCACTTATTGAGCTGTATATAGATAAAATTCAGAGAAATCAAATAAGAGGTATAGAGATCAGTTTGTTTGCAAAGTGGTCAGCTATATAAGCTAGCTACTTCCACTTTGCAACTTGCTTCTTCTTCCTTTCTCTATCTCAGTTATTCCTTCTTTCAAGGTCTACCTAGCGCCTCACAATAGGTATATTCCCCTTTTTCTTTCTATTAGACTATGTGCTTCGCTAATAAGAGATATATATAGATAAGGATGGCGTGAAAAGCGCAAAGGAGATATAACTGCCAAGTTAGCCTATGAATATCACAAAAAAAAGAAGAAAGTTGAGCGAGAACGGACCACAAAAAGGTGGTCAAATATCCTGACCTGCGGCTTATGTGAGTTATGCCAAAAGCACTGTTAGGAGGGTGATATTAACCAAAAGTACCTATCTATAGATGAGTATAAGGTCACCACGGAGTATAAGGTCACCACAAAATTACCAGTACTTCCGTTATACTTAGAGTGGTCAAATGCAATGAGACCCACGCTTGGGGTGAATACCGGTATGGACCAATTCTATACCCGGGAGACTAGACAGGAGCTCGTTCCCCTCCGGGTTATTGTTGCCTCCGTTGAGGCGCATCTGCCTCCGCAAAAGGCCCAGGAGGGACTTGAATATGAATAATTTGCACTTGAATGCTGAAGGCTTATGGAGGTATGGGCCGGTCACACATAAGGGTCTCAAGTACGACCTAGTTGGGCGCCCAGATTATAGCTTATGGTATGGCAACGAGGAAGACGTCGCAGTTAGTATTGTTGTGGTCGAAGCCAAGGGTGGCGCAGGTGCATCAACCGGAGTCTCACAAACGCTTGGCTATATGGGTTGCGTTGCGTGCACAGACGTCGGAAGGACCTCCAGAAACTGGATTCAACCGTATACGGTGTCGTGTCTGACGGCCAGTGGTGGGTCTTCTTAAAAATCAACAATGATTCAGAGGTGAGTAAAGTTTACCATCACATCATACATGTTCTAAGTTGGATAGTGGACGGAGCATATGATTCCTGCTCGTCTTGGTAATTATCAGGAGGTGCTTGGTTTACTTGTGCATATGTTCCGTACTGCTGCGACCATGTCTCCTGTTCAGTCAGAGAAGACATCAGTCCAGACCCATTCAAAGAGTCGTCTGGTGTTTCGTACATGGGGTTTGATCTGGATGCAGAGGAAGAGAGTAGCGATGAGGAAGAAGTCTGATGTTTCTGTTCTGTTCTGTTCTTTTTTTATTTTGACCTTAAATGACCAACCCCCTCCGAAAGCTCACAATCATGATAAAACAAGTACCACTTTCCCTGAAACTTAACAATGGAATGATGCGTCGTCCACCTAAGCACCGGATCTAAAATACGTCCCCGATGATTAAACGGACCTCAAGGCGAAGTGCCCGTGGCATAAGCTAAGAAATTCGTATCACCGGTCGAATAAGAGAAATAATAGGTACCTTGATACCGATATACCCAAGCCGCCTCAAAGAACCTCCTCTTATGATCATCTGCTAACAAAGGCTCCCTAGTCTCCGGCGTAAGAATAACAACCTCAACTCTAAAATAGATATAGAAATAATAAAGTATCGGGGAGAAATCGGTAGTAGTTTGTAATAAAGAAAATATATTTTAAGAGTATAAAAGACTTTAAATCCTATATTATAGACCTTATATACTGTAGTCTATATAGACCTACTGCTCTCCTACCGCTTCCAAATTTGTACACGGCGAAGTATGGCAGAAATATGGCAGAATTCTGAGTGGTACCCGATCAGGAAGGCGGCATTGGAATTTCAGGCCGGGGTTGTGTGTCGGCTAAACCGTTTCCGTGAAATATAGGTCCAATCAATGGGTTTCAATCAGTCTGTACTGGCTCAGCTGGCAATTTATGGAGCCTGATTACATAAACTAAAATAAACAATAACGTAACTAATTCACATACGAGCCGCCACCACATACGACCCGCCATCTCCAAAACACATAGTAAATGTGATAAATTACAACCTGATATCTCAACAACGGTGGTCTATAAGAGGTTTTCCTTATAGCTCGATACTTCTTAGGTGATATCTAGCCTCTTTACTAAGTTCAGATAAGTTTTATGACTTTGTGATCGTGATATATATATTTCAAGATATTTCAAGCTCTAGGCAATGTAATTTTCGAAACCATAATAAAGTAGAGGTTTGATTACCTTAATATTAAGATGCCGAGTTTAAGATCCTTATCGATAGCTATCTAAGAATAATTAGACCAGGGAATAACATTGTTGTTAAGATACACAGGTTGTCAAATATGGTGTTTACTATGTGTTTTGGAGATGGCGGGTCGTATGTGGTGGCGGCTCGTATGTGAATTAGTTACACATTGTTAATCGTGTCGTGTGTTGGCGCCTGGCAAGTTAGTTAACTACAGAATGACCTAGATACTTACAGGACTCGAAGACCCGTGCTTCTCGATGATCCACTATCCCTCCCCACAGGAAGAGGGGAAAAAAAGCGGGAGACAAAGGTGAGAGCCGGTCTTCTTTTCTAGTTATATATTAATAGGGTATGAATCTCCTTGATATCCATTATCGGATCTTTTAATAATCCGAATTGATTATTCGTCTGGTAGTTATATCCGCTGGATCGGGTCGTTACTGTTTACCTGCATCTACTTGCATGCTGTCTGGGCTACTTTGTCAGGGCTACTTTGTCTGGGCTACTTTCTTCGAATTACGAGTATGAAAACTTATTTAAACCCTTCCCAGCTCCTAGAACTTGGACATGATCTCTCTTTGGAATATACCCATCTTCCAAAGCTCTCTCTATATCGACTTCTAATTGTCTTTGTGGCTTGATTCATTTGCTTTTTGTCAATCCCCTTCGTCATGACAGGCGTTTTTTCCGACGACCATCTCGAGTCTTTCCCTGTTGAGAGTGATGGTCTACCTCACAGTATGGCCTATGCTCAAAATACACCCCAAGATACACTTCACTATCTCGAACAGGACCTCCCATTTCAAAGTTCTATGGTCTTCCATGGGTCTTGAATAACTTCGACCTAAACATGCCAACTACATCGGCACAAGCCAACATCGAGTCTCTTACTGGATCTGTTAGAGACAACGCTTCCCCATTCGGAGCAGAGAACACAACGCCAAGTGAGTTCCTCCGATACAGATCTCGATCTCTACCCCTATCCTATATCTGTGTTTATCTAATCAATCAATTTTCCAAAGGAGCAGCACTGGTCCTGTCACATGTGGTTGGAAAGGTTGCACATACACACTCCCGTTCACTCATGTGATATCGTTGTGGCGGCATATCAAGGACAAGCACATATTCTCTGATGCGTTCAAATGTCCCTCTCTACAGTGTGGAAAGGCATATGGTCGAAGGGACAAGTTGCAGGAGCATTTGCGATCGCATGCAAACGCGGAATGTCAAGGTAAATGTCGTTCGTGCCATGCATGATAGTACAAAGGTTATTGATAATCTCTTGTCTCTTTTTCTTAATTTTGTACTTCAATAATTTGTACTTCATTTTCTCAATACATCATTCTTCTTTACCGTCCTAGGAGTTTCCAGAGGGTAAATGGCGAATGTTAGGTAGATATCTTATCTAAAAGTGTTTCCAGACATTGTAAATGGAATGTAGCCTTTACGATGCTTATCACAAAAAAGGTTGCAGGGCTCGAACGAGACACTGGAACCCGTATAGCCGAAAGAAAAATAGTGGACGTGGGAGAGCCGGAGAAATTAAACTTTCTTGGTCAACCTGCAGTCACTAAGTCACTACCCCCATTATCCCCATCCAAGCTACCTGCCATGGATTCATCAATGGAATATCTCACCGATCTCGAAGGAACACAGGTCACGTTTGATGCCGTTGCAGAGCCACCATTCAACTTCCCTGCCCAGACATGGACGATACTTGAGAAGCTCGACGAGGAGTCGAATTGCCTGACAGACGAAGACATCGCCGCGGAGCTCGGGCCCTCAGATACGGTCGGGAAGTTCCTATGCCGACCTGCTAGTGAGGAAGACGACAACAGGCGCGCATTCTTGCGTATCTACCAACAGGTCCCTATAGCTGGAACTGAAACGAAAAGGGCCGCCATACGGGCTAGCCAGGCCGTCGACACCCCTCCCGACCACTCAGAACTGATTGCTTTCCGGAAATTCACAGAGCTAGGTTGTGATGTTGTTCCTCGACTGCTAGGCTATCAACAGCGCCAGCAAGACCACGATGAGGGTGTTCCTGGGGGATACATTACGTACATTCTATGGGAAAAAGTCCCCGGCGAGTCTCTTAACTTGACCGGATTCTGGAGGCTACCCTTTGCCGATCGCCAGGCCATCCGCGATAAATTTCGCCAAGTCTATGAGTATGATTATGTAGTGACCACTGCGAAGCATAGGGCTAACAGAGAGCAGAAGGTTTTTGCCGTGCGGGTATATGCCATGTATGGCTGGTCCGTCGAAGATCATTTATGACAAGTCCAGTGGTCAAATGTATGTCTATGCGAGATTATCTATGGACTATGATCTAACTATCTCTAGGCATATCTGCGGGTTCAAATGCGCATCTCCGTTTGACGAACCTCAACAGTGGGATGATGTTAACTACTTCCAATACGGATTAATTCAACCCTCCGATAGCCCGTTCTACTGGGAAGGAACACCACCCGAAACGGAGGATTGGATCGAAGATGAAAACGGCTGGACGTGGTGAATATGGAAACATCCACAGCGGGATAGAGTTTGAAGTATCATCCGCCATCTTGTTCCTTCCTGGCTGGCTTAATAAAAAAAATGTAAACTAAGGGATTTCTGCTGGTGTAATGAAGGCTGTGTTTGCTATACACAAGTATGGGCAGTATACTATGATCAACATCATATGGTATTGACTGCGAGGATTGGAAATCGGCCCCTTGGTTTTAGCAATGGTAGCAAGATACGACTAATGATAGTCTCATTTATTTTCACGTGTGGTCCGAAGGCCATAAGTATACAAAAAGCCCATGCGAACACATGTGCCAAATCCAGTAAAAAATATAAAGAACCAGCTTACATCTTCTGGAAGTATTCATCAAAATCATCCGCGGCGACCTTAGCGCAGTCAAAGCCGTAGATCTCACGCTGCACATCGGCATCGGCCCACTTATCAGGCACAGGACCCTTGCCAGCGCGGAGGGCAGCGAACTGCTTGTCACGCTCCTCCTTGGCAGCACCCTCACCCAAGTGCAGGGCACGACCAGAAGCAGTAGCCATATCGACCAAAGCCTCAGCACGGCTCTTGCGGACTCTCTCGTAAACACGGAGAGCCTTGTTGATAGACTGCGGGGTGGTATCAGGGAGCTTGGAAAGAACGACACCGAGAACGGCTCCGTCTTCAATCGCCTGGGCAGCACCCTGAGCCAAGTGCGGCAGGGTAGGGTGGCAAGCATCACCAACCAAGGCGACAGAGTCGAGAACCCAAGTCGGGAGCGGGTCGTGGACGCGCAGCTTCCACTCGCAGACCTCACCTTCCGGAACGTAATCTAGCAGGCGCTGGACCATGGGGCAGAAGTCAGAGAAGACGTCCATCATAGCAGGCTTGGAGCCCTTGGTGGTATAGGTAGCGTTTGTCGCAGATGCGAAGTGGCTGTCGGGCTGGGTGGTGGAGAGGTTGTAGATGGTATTGTTGGAGACGGGGTAGGCGATAATGTGACGTTTTTCGCCAATCCAGCGGGTCACACGGTTGCTGTTGATGAGGGCCAGAAGCTCGGGGTCGTCTTTGATTTGCTCCTTGTGGATCATGATTCGATACGCGGCTTGGTGGGTGTCCTTGACGCCAACGTCGGCACCTACCCGCTTCATCATCTCGACGCGGGTGGCACTCTTAATACCGTCTGCGGCGAGAAGCACATCACACTCGACATTAAACGGAGCAGCTCCCTCGGCGCGGGGGGTAGCTGTGAATGATGGCCGAGGGCCGAAAGAGTCCACGTCATCTGCGCTGACTCCGAAGTGGAACTTGATTTCGGAATGTTGCTTGCAGCCATTGTATAGTCCATTGGATAGTGATGCACGATGGCCAACCATGTGCTTATATCCATATGTCTTTTCAATGTACCGCAGATCCACATATGCGTGTTGAGTGTCCGTTGCGCCGTCTGCAGACATAGATTAGATCGCATTACATTGTTTGATTGGGAAATCGCAACATACCACGAACTGATGTGTCCTCAATATTCACGGCCTCGGCCTCAATGCCCTTCCAGACACCGAGTCTATCCAAAATGCGGGCCATGTTAGGTGCTAATTGAATACCAGCGCCAACAAAGCCGAGGTCTGTGGCACTTTCATAAACATCAATGTTCTTGAATCCCTGCTGCGCGAGAGCCAAAGCGGAAGTCAAACCGCCCATTCCGGCGCCCAAAATGGCGATTTGTAAATCTTGAGGTGCTGTTGTCATTTTATCGGTGGTGTGCGAAGAAGATATATAGTGATGGGTGTTAACACGACAAGGAACTAAAATATACCAAAGGAAGAATAGCAGGAGAAGCAGCGAAGAATGGCATGAAGAGTCTCTTTAAAAATAAAATATCCAACGGTGCAATGCCCGGGTGATGCTGCCGACCATGTCTTGCGTTTTGCTTCATGGCCACGGCGGAGTAAGTCTTTCCCGCCTCTCCCACATTCTCCCCACAAGCCCGTCTTGGAGGCGCTCACACAGCCTGGGAATTTCATCATTCCCTGCTTGGACTTTATCCGCTTTAAAATTTGATGGCAATGTTGTAAGTGGGAGGCTATCCCGATGTCAACGTCAAGTGCAGCTCATCGTCGCACTGCAGTCAGCCTTATTCTCATGGCCAAATCAGCAGGGTTTTAGACCCACAGCTTTGCTTTGTTCCTGCTTTTCCTCATACGATTAACTCACCCTGAACGACCTTGATATATGTGGAATCGGTGTCGATGTTCGTTTCATATTCTCAGCTCCAATTCTCCATGATAACGAACATCCTTCCCCACAGTTTTTAACTCCGGACTTACCCCGGGCCGCTAATCTTGCGGAGAAAGTCTGGTTGCTGAGGCTACAAACTGCCGACAACTTCTTGTTGGACACTGAGGTAAGAATAAAAATCTGACAATCGAATCATTCTCCGATATGAGTTAACAGAAATGGCCATTTCGGATCAAAATTTGCTCATTGCATGAACCCCCTAAAATTAACTACAACAAGAATACTCGGCCGCGTTTGCGGCTTCTGTCATTCAAAACGACGTGATCCAGTTGAGTTTTCTCAGATATCTGTCTTCTCACGGTTATTAATTTTTCTAGGTAAACGGCCGAAAAAGGAGAAAATTAATGTGCGAAAACGACTTTTCTGTATGACCTTTGACTTCAGTCATGGCTTATTTGTCACCAAACATGTGGTCTGGAAACGTCGCTAGTGATGGCGACACAATGACGTGCAGTTTCCTAACCGTCGGTAGAAGACGTGATAGATCAATGATACAGGAAGAGAGAGGTAAACGAATATCTATCAACATCCATGGATGGTAAAGATCGCATGGCGAAGGCTCACGTATACAGCCAATCAAGAAAAGGACTAGACCCCACTCGCAGTAGTGCGCCATGTTGGGACTAGCGCATATCGAAGTATGAGTGTATGTCGTCGTGTATATAGGGAATAGTAACCAATGAGAGAGTTATGTTCCCAAGGCACACTTGTAGAGAGGACCTGCTTATATAGCTGGCCGCTCCGTAAATGGCAAACAACATCACGATGACCCGTACAGCCATGAATCGTATGAGAGGACTGGCGGACTTTTGTTTCGCGAGTCTCCTCCTTAACCTTCACATATTCTTTCTCTGTATTTTCTCGTATTAATCCGTTATTTTAAAGAAATATGGGACTTTCCGGGGGGCATACGACATACTTTCATTACTCGTCACCCCCTACCAGGTTAAGAAACGATTTTGGCGAGCTCAAGCAGCGCCTTGCTATCGAGTTAATTATTGCCGAGCACGCTCTGCGTGAACAAACGCAGCGCGAGGAAACGCTAAACCATAGAGCTATAGCTTTACAAAAGGCCATAGCTATCGATCCCGATCTCGACCCCGATAGAACTCAACTTGAAGTTAGAGAAGCAGATGAACAGCTCGAAAAGGTAAAAAGACAACCTTATATAGCTGACCACTTTGCAAACAAACTGATCTCTATACCTCTTATTTGATTTCTCTGAATTATATCCATATACAGCTCAATAAGTGACGATTAATCAGCATAATACCTCTCAAAAGTTGAAAGATAAGTAAGAGTAAACTGATTTATATTAAATGAACTATGGATGTGAGGCTCTAGGACCCATCTCGGCTGTTTCACCACTATTTCACTGTGGTTGGCGGGCTTTTTCCTAAAAGCCGAGCTGATTGGAACTTCACTTCTGCTGTAGGATTTGTTTTCCATCTCAGCATTATATTTTAGCCAGGAGGGATTCATTCCGATTTGCTTTAGCTATCATAAGAGCAATTTCAAATGAAGTTATCAGTCTACACATATCATAGTAAATAGTAGGGTAATAACTACCGGCATCCATGGATATTATAACTAGTTAGTCATAAATATGACGAATCAAGTGTTACCAGAATGTTCTTAGGCAAAAGAGAATATATACAGAAAGACCTTCCAATTTCCCAAGGGCCCCTGCCGAAAGATTAGGTCCACCTTCCTAATTTGGTATCGCTTCTGCCTTGACACCTAGATCTGCCTACCGCTACACACACCGCCATTGAAATACACCGCCTTTATGGCAATACCACTACGTAGCAGGACGATAGATACCTGTGATTTGTATGTAAACCACTACTTTTGTCACAACTACTTTATCATTATCAAGGGGGTGAACTGTATAGAAATCAGGTATAACATACTATTTTTTACTATATAAACTAGAATTCATATAGTACTAGTACTCCGTACGGAGTAGTGGCAGAATATATGGCAGAAAACTTTGTACTGGCAGAAATTATAGCAGAATCCATGGTCGCACCAAATTAGGATGGCGGTGACTGAAAATTCAGGCAGGGATGTCATTCTAAGGGGGGGCATATTACCAATGCCCTTTCCCAAATAGGAAATAGGCATCGGAACTATACTACTATCATGGAAGTTCATATAGCATATGATTGTCACCGCTAGAAATTCTGAAGTCATTTTCCGCCTTGAGCAGCGGAGAGCTTGCATACATCTGTACCCCACCTTATATTCTTTTGTATCCCACCCAACTCGCCATCATACATTTCTTCATCTCAAACAAATTTTCCTGCTATCCATAATTAACCTATCACTTATTGTTTCCACCCATATTGTGCACATATCTGGCATCCGAACGTATTGCAACATCAGGCCATGGATCTCGATCATGCCCTGTCCACCTTCACCTTCCATCACATATTCTTCCCTCTGAAACTGCCACAGGAAGCTGAACATGACCTAGTTCGGCTGGAGAACCACCTGGTCGCGGCTGTGAGAGATGTGCTGCAAGAGTTCATTCAGAATGTCAGCCCCGAGTCCCAGCAGCGATGGGACCTAGCTTTGAGTATGTTGGTTACCTGGATGAAGTTGCATACCGAGCAGGGAATTTTGCAGAGTGGCTTAGAAGAAGCTATTTCGAACCTTAAATCTACCAGTAAGTGGGTTGTTCTCTCTTTAGATCTTTCTCCCCTAGCACATTCTAGACGGCCCCGGACGAGAAAACGCTGACCCAATTAGGGGCTATTGCGTGTCACATCAGAGCCCAGAACTGCGGATGGGTCGCCTTTTACGATGCAGAAAAAGACAGGGTTCTCGTCGACGCATTTGAGGTGTCCTCGGAGGATGGACCAGTACTATCCTCTGGTGGGCTCCTACGTCGATTCCCCGGAGTTGGTGTAGCTATCTCGGCAGACAAGCTCTCTGACCCGACATTCTGCTCCTATCTGGCCACCGAAATCACTCATTTAGCATCCGAGGAAGTGTCTGAGATGCTGCCGAAAAGCACAAAAGCGGGAACCGAAGTGGACGAAATCCGGGAAACAACCCATCCTGGCCTTGTGACAGAAGGCTTGATGACACAACTTCTGGCACTCGGTACACATCATGAAGAAAAGAGGGTTTTAAAATGTGTGCGAGACGAGGTAAACTGGAAGTCTGCTTTATTACCATGGAGGCGGTCTCCAGCTTGGCTCGTCATCCGAGTCGCTCTGCAGTTGGTTCTTCGGCGATGCTTCAATGAAACGGAAGGGCGCCTTCATTACAAAAACTTCATTCTGTACTTCATGGCAACACTGGCGGCAAGACAAAATCCGTTCGTAGCCTCCCATGAACTTGTGGATTGCTACGAAATCATGCGTGCTCGGATTGGCCGGCGGATCTACAAGCTGGAGGATGAAGATGAAGTCTTTCCATTTGTTGCCAACCGTGCACATTCCGCAAGCAAGGATCTGCTTGTCAGATTGATGTCTATTAAAAAGCAGATCAAAATATCCAACCGTGTGAGGATTCCGCTGATCCCATCATCACCTTCGCAAGATGATGTTCACCAATCACTGCTTCATTGCAAGGAATATCTTCAAGCGGCGATGCGTTCGTCGCCTAATCAAGTAAAGCCTACAAAGTTCTGTCGAACTCACACATCCAACTTAAAATGGAGCAATGACTTGCCCATTCCGAAGATCGGGTCGATCATGGCTCTCAGTGAATTTGAGCAATGGGTTGATGGGCACCTACAGTCCTGGTTCATCAATCAACCCGCTTCGAAACATGAAGCAGCGTGTCGTGAACTTGAAAATACCATTGCGCAGTACTTTTCCCTCGCAAAGCCGACGTACGTCTCCAACCCACAAGCCACGTCAGTTATGATCCTTGTATTGTTGGAACTGTGGGTAGTGCTAGACAAAATGGCTCTACGAATCTGTCCTCTGATGAACAGGTTCTCTCCTGGAATCCCCGATAACTTCCTCGAACCTCTACTACTTCCCAAGATCGGTCAAATGAAACGGGCGAGGGAGGTCGAGCAGTACATAAATGTGCGGCATAAGGAATCGGACAAAACCAACCCTAGCATCTTCTGTGACCCAGCACCAAATTGCTTTGGTGTTCAGTTTTTCAACAGCTCCGAGGAGCACCAAAGGCTCGAACGCAGAATTGAGCGGTCTGCCAATACAATTAGAGCAGCAAAGCAAGCGGAATGGGAGAGATTAAATGCTAAATACGAAAGCCTATGCGAACAAGAGCAGCAACTGCCGCATTATTTTGACTACAATGACGATGATGAATACGTTCACCTTCCGTGGGATTGCCTAAAGTGTTCACTGAACAAACAAGCCGAATCTATTTCCATTCACGTTCATGAATGGCCACTCCCAACAAAAGAGATTGCACGAAAAACCGCTGTATTCGAGCTCAATATTCCCATTTGGTTTGCATCATGGCGCAACAGTACCTGGAAGGTCCTCCACGAGCTTGGACGAACGCCTACAGTGACTACTACCGAGATGGAAGTCGGATGGCTTGACTATACAGAGATCCAAAACTTCACCACGAAACGCGGATCGAACATTGTTCTGGCCTCAGATACAAAATCGTGGCGCAAATCTCACTACAGATCGCACAGATTCCCTGTTTCCTTCGATTCGGTTTGCATCCCAAATGGGCTTCACCTGCGGCTTTTCGAAAACACAAGAATTGCCTGGGTGACAATGCAGACCAATAAACCGAGCGTCAAGAGCATGTGCACCATATAACTCCCACTCGGAGTGTACTCAAATCTGCAATACACCCTCAATTCCACTTCACACTCCCAGAACCAGGTCATAGCGACCCAGAAAGACTGCGATAAAAAGCTCAGCTTGCTTGAATTTGAGGCATACGGATGTCTTCGCTCTGGGGGAAATCTTCAATGGGGTAATATTTCGAGGAATCTGGCATCATCGGCATTGTCACTGAATGAGGAGGCTGTTGTCTCCCTTGTCAAACAAGCCGCTTGGGAGCTGGGGCCACTATCCGGAAGATCAGGCTCAATCAGAAGAGCTGCACATGAAGCCTTTGAGGATATAGGCTTTGGTGACTGTCTGCTGCACCTGTTGCGAGAGAGATTGGTGACGATTGAAAATAACTGGAACGAATATTGCACCTTCGATCTTATTGTCACACTTGGTGTTCGTGTTCTTGCTTTGACGAGTGGATCACCGTCGGTTGAGAGGGTCGTTGAATTCCTACGACAATGTCGGGAGGTGGGGATGGATTGGTGCGATCAGTTGAATCAAAGTCTTTTGAATAATGAAGAGAACGACGATCAAAGCCAACAACAGCTGCTACTTCTGATTGCATCAACTTGCCAAGCCACATATGATGTTGATCCGATGTTTTGGACATGGTTATCGAAACGTCCCGGGACCTCTTTTGCTTCGTCCGATGCTCCATTTTACTGTTCGAGAACTCACCTCCAGAAACAGACGGTCTGTCGCCCAAGATAAAGCTTAGCTTGGAGAATTCAGAAAGGATCCGGTCACTATCAAGATCACGGATAATATGGATGATTACGAACTGCGCGTCTGGATTGAATGAAGCAATTCAAAGTGGCGTGAACTGTCTTGAAGTTTCCGGGCTTTGGAAAACTTGCTCAGGTACCTGGGTAACTACGGAAACAAGCAACAGTGCGCAAGGCTTTGAGCAACGACTCCACTTCGATTATCTCACAGGTGAACTTCTGGTGGATGGAAATCCTCCAGGGAGGTTGCCAGCTCGCTTTGCAAACAATCCTCTCTATCAACGCCTCTTCGGAGCGGTAATTCTACCTAAAATCTTCATCATATTTAGAAGATGTGTTGACTTTTCTATAGAGAGTTATTCCGGTGATACCATCGAGTTTGCCTGGAGCATCGTTTGTCTTGTCACACACCGTTGAGGATTTTGAAGTAAGTCTTATACAACCCAAAAAGCCGAGCTACGATACACAATCTGACAATTGACAGGTTCACTTCGGGATGCAGAGTGGGAAGCTTTTGATCAAAACTCGCAAGGGGTCTCAGGTCTTGCAGCTTATACCACACGAGGTCCTCGAGAAGGACTTCCCTAGAGTATTAATCTCCGAGAACTTTCATTGGCTGGATTTGGAGACTGGGGCTGTTGAATTCCGTCCACTGAACCAGCCATGGAAACCTTCGGACCGCAATTGGCATTTGTTCTTTGATCCTAATTCGCCGGGCAACATGCTCATGCAACAAGATTCCAAGACCCTAGTCGATGTTCAGAGCCCGACTTTCCAAAAAATTGGTCACATATTGAAAGTTCTTGATGCAAGTGATGAGATTGTTGTCATTCGGACGGCTTTTGGGACACTAGAGGCAGAACTAAGCCGTTTACGGTTGAAATTCTTCGTCAATGATAATGGACGTGTAACGTCAAAGGAGTTCAGCGCCCTGATTGATGTGGACCAAGACATCGGCTGTTTCTATGGACTGAAGAACAAACTGGTCCTCGTTGATTCCTCCAATAATCGATCGGTCATTATTCCTTACGGAAGCCCGATGATTAGTAGAGAAGATCATCATGTTGCAGTCACAATCGATCTACCAACCGGAAATCGGGCGAAGTACATGCATTATTGCTTGGACAGTCATCTGCAAGTTCTGCGAGGATTCCACCCCCTGGCTATCTTGTACCAGGCATACTTGCACGCAATCACGTCTTTCCCTGTCCCTGATAACTTGACTCATCGCTCAGGTACCGAAGAGGCTATCCGCATTCTATGTCAGGAGTGTTTGAAATCAGCATTCCCCCTTCAAAATGATGCTACCGAGACCCTGGAAAGGATTGCCGCCCTTACGCCGTGCCGCAAATTTTATCCCCAGCACCTTCGTGTCATGCAAACTATCGAATGGTCTAGTAACTTAGGTCAACTTGCCCAACACGATGACTTCCAGTCCTTATCGCAAGAAATTCTTCAGTTCTCTGAGCAGTTTTCACATTTCCATGGTGCCAAAAAAGAGGGAAAACTGCCTCTTATACCCGGGGAGTATTGATTTGTTAAAGCGTAACCGTTGCCGCGCCGAGCAGATCATGAGGTCGCAATTCAGCGAACCCCCCACTCCATCAAAGAAGATATATCACAACTCCCGCGATTGCAACATCACAAGTGCTCGCAGTCAGAATGTGTATAGAATCGCAGCTCTGATTCGAGATTGGCCTTCGACGGTTGGTCATTCATCACATCTACTGGCAACCATGAGGCAATTCAAAAATCTACCAACGCTCTCAGCTGATTTTACTCGTTACTCTTGCTCTAAAATTCTAAATCAGTCGATGGAGAGTGCCTGGGTGGGCTTATACCGCGCCTGCCAGACAAGTTCTAGGGCTACGCACACCTACTTCTTGATTTCCTTGTTTTCTATCCTTGCGTTTGGTGGGAAGATTGACCAGTCGGTCCTCCGTCAATTACTTCAGGTTGCTTTCTCGGAGAAATGCAAATATATTCCAGTGCCACCCAACTCGACGACGTCACTGAATCTCAGCCTTGGGGGGGACTTTGTCCTTTCTCAAATTCAAGACGCAATCAAATATGCCTACACAACCTTCACTAAGGTAGACAATTCACACCTCTCACGCGCAGAACAAGCCAAAAGCAACCAAAAAGCCAAAGCCAACTGGTGCAAACAAAGGGCCGAAGATGTACGGTTGTGTGGGGACCACATACGAGCTCAGTGGCCGTCCAAAGCTCCTGTACTTCCATCTCGTGCTCTGGTTCCACTGGTTCGTAGAAAGCCGACACATAAAATGATACACATGCTTTGTGGCGATTGGGTCGAAAACCGGAATTTCCTTGACTTCCTGCGCCGGGTACAGAAGGAAGTGCCCTCCGACCCTTGGTATCACGATGTGGATCCTGTTCCCACCTCCCCTGTCCACTTTCAGGAGATTGAATACGGTTCATTTCAGCCACCTGTGTCTTTGATCTAATGCATAGGTCTCATCCAGACCCCCCTCAGACTCCGTTTGCTCCGATGACCCATCGGGGTTTCTTCGATCCCACAATCAACACCTGAGCTCTGGTCCCTGGCGAAGCATTTCCAAGCGAGCTCTAACCAATGTCAACAAGAGTATGGAAACGGGCTAAGTCAAAGCGTCCAAGCGTTAGAGGACTTCTCAACTTCAGAATCTACGCCTGGAGAATCTGACCTTGCTGCCTCTTTTGACTGGGTGACAAACGGAGATGCGGTACTTCTACATCAAGAAGAGCTTGAAAGACAAAGAGATGCATTGTGGGATGAAATTGCCGCGAATTTAAGGACGAGTGCAAATTTTGCTAAATACTGACACCGTCAGTCCTTCTGTCACCATGTGGTCAGTTCTGTCTATTTTGGCCTCTGATAAGTGGACCAGCATTCCCACCCAGTGGAAGACGTTACTTGTGGCATTTGAAAAGTCCATCTCTGCCTTGCGTCGTTGCGAGAGACTGATTGCCTGTACCGAAAATCGGGATATCGATGGGTTTCTCAGAGAGGCAGAAAACCCGGGCTATGAGGGGTGGGACCCTTCGAGCTACCCGACTTGGCTGCTGTTGGAAATTGAAAATAACATTACTATCCGGAAGCGCCAAGTGGAAGTCGCAGCTCGGATGATCAAACCGGACTGTGGGGAAAACGCAGTGCTTCAGCTTAACATGGGTGAAGGCAAGACTTCCGTCATTACACCCATGGCGGCTGCAGTGTTGGCCAACGGCCATGATCTTCTCAGAATAATTGTCTTGAAACCTCTCTTAAGGCAGAGTGACGCGCTTCTTTCTCAGCGGCTCGGGGGTCTGATCAATCGACGCATCTACCACATTCCATTTTCGCGACAAACTGAACTTTCTTCTCCCATAGTCAGCCAGCTCCAGTCCTTATATGAGCAATGTTGCCGCCAGAGGGGTATTCTGATTGCCCTCCCCGAGCAGATGCTCTCATTCAGACTCATAGGATTAGATGCTGTGGAGAGAAACCCCAATATCTTCCCGCCACTGATACGTCTTGAGAATTGGCTGCAAAGCAAGTGCCGAGATATCATTGACGAAAGTGACGAAGTCCTGGATGTTAAGTTCCAGTTGGTTTATACTATGGGAACGCAGCAATCTCTCGATGGGCTCAGTTGTCGCTGGGAGACGACGCAGAATTTGCTTCGCCTGGTCTCCATACAGGCAAAGCGTCTTTGTCAGGATGATCCAACTTGCATCGAGGTTGATCAGCTAGGTTACCGGTTTCCTATTTTGCGATTTCTAAAAGTCGATGCGATCGAACGACTGATCGGTTACACGCTCAAGTCGATCTCCGAAAATGGAATCCCCGGGTTACCATTTACCCAATGGAATTCACGGGTTAAGAGCAGCGTGATGCGATTCATTGAACATTCTGAACTTGCCAAGGACGACGAATCTTTCATCCGGGCAGAATTTGACGGGAGTGTCTTTATGACCAATCTTCTCGTCTTACGCGGACTCTTTGCTTATCGCATCCTGAGATTCTCGCTTGCTGATAAACGTTGGCTAGTGGAATATGGCCTCCACCCTTCCCGGTGTTTAATGGCGGTGCCATACCGTGCGAAGGGTATCCCATCCGAGAATTCGGAATTTGGACACCCTGATGTGGCAGTGACTCTCACCTGTCTGAGTTACTACTACGAGGGACTGAGGAAAGAGCAACTGAGAGACTGCTTCGTGCTCTTGGCGAAAGAAAATGACCCTTCAACTGAGTTCCATAACTGGGTCACGCAGTGTGTCGATGATTTACCAGCCGGTTTACGGACATACTCAGGCGTGAACCTCGAGGACGATAAGACCTTCACCCAGACTCTGTTCCCCATTCTCCGCTATCAGAAAGAGATAGTTGACTTTTACCTATCTCGGTTCGTTTTTTCTAGAGAAGCAAAGGAATTTCCTCGGAAGCTCTCGTCATCCGCGTGGGATATTCCTGCACGGCGTGGCCTTCAACTGACGACAGGCTTCAGCGGTACGAACGATAACCAGTTTCTGCTACCTCTGTCAATCCGTCAAAGGGATCTTGGCGAACTTCTTCACACCAATGCAATGGTACTAGGCTTCTTGCTACGAGAGGACAACAGGCAATGTATCCTGGCGCAGGATGAAGAGGGCCGCCAGCTAGATGTTGATCGGCTCCTGAGGCTTGTAGTCAGCACCGGTGAAGGCTCACCCACGGCCAAGCCTGTACGAGTTTTTATTGATGTTGGTGCCCAAATTCTGGAGGCCGGGAACCAGTCAGTCGCCCAAAAATGGCTTGCCATGACCCCCGAGGGAGATGTTGAGGCGGCAATCTTCTTCGACCAAAGTGATGAAACTATGGTGATTGACCGGGAGGGGCATGTTGAGACTCTCTTCTCATCTTCGTTCCGACAACGAATGGGGGCTTGCTTGGTATTCCTTGATCAACACCACTCGCGCGGTGTCGATTTGAAGTTACCACTTGCGACGCGTGCCGCAATCACTCTGGGGCCAAGACTAACGAAAGATAGGCTTGTTCAGGGTAAGCTGTGAAGTCCCGATATCTTTCAAAGACAGTACTAACTTCCTCTCAGCCTGCAACCGACTTCGTGGCCTTGAAAAATGCCAATCCCTTCTATTTCTGGTTCCTCCAGAGGTCAGTCACAATATGAGGTCTATATTGGGGATATCATCCGATAGAGTTTTCACTTCACTTCGGCAGACGTACTAAAGTGGTCTATGGTTCAGACATGCCAGGCCCTGGACAATGTACGCCCGCTTTGGGCAAACCAGGGACTTCAGTACCACAAGAAGATCATTCTTTGGGATTCAATAGTGGGACAAAGTGACCCCTCCACGAAGTCGAAAACCGCTAGTTCTATACAGGAGCCTGAAGCCCGGACACTCTCCCAGCTCTACGCACCTTGGGACGAGGATAGGCGGGGTAGGAACGGCCACCAGATGCCTGAATGGAATGTCAACAATGAGCAAGTTCAGGAGCTGTTGAAAACTTTGCAGTCAACTCCAGGTCACATCGCGACTTCTGCCTACCTTCATGAGGAACAAGAGAGAGAAATTGCATGCGAGGTGGAGCGAGAAGAACAGATTTCGCGGCCCCCATCATACGAGCCTGAAGACCACAACCTCCACGACGATATCCGGTATTTCGCCAATTTCGGCAAGTTCCGTGATAAGAAACCATCCAAGGCTGTTACATTGGCTTTCCAGGGTCTGGAAAATACATCTGCTGGGAAAGAGAACCATCCACGTCTGCTTGGGCCTAGATTGTATTCCACTGTAGACTTCAACCAAACCGTGAAAATTTCCAAGAATAATGTTATGGATGATTTCTGCACGCAGGTGAATTGGATTTTATCCAGTGTCCACAGCGATGTTCTGATTATCGTGAGTCAGTACGAAGCTAATGAGCTCATCAATATCGTTCGCAAATCAGAGAACGTCAGACTTAACATCTACGCCCCGCGGCTAACGAAGCCCATGCGGTCGTTCCGCTACCTTGACTTCTTTGGCGTTGGCGCAAACATTCCAACGCAGCCTGACGACACAATGACACGGTGTCTGGAGATGTTCTCTGGGAGCCTTTACTTCAGCTCATTTGAAGATTACAACGATTTCCGTTCCTTCTTGGAGCTTCTTACAGATAACCTTGGTGGGATTCCAGACGATGCCATGACCAATGAGGGATTCGTCAAATACTTTTCCCGCATGCAACTTCAATGGCCTATCGACTCACCCTTTGTTGAAAATCCGATTCCGTTCCTCGGTGCCCTGATTCATATTCGAACCAAAGGAATGGGATACCAACAATCTCACGTCGGCACACTCGTCAAAACCATGCCATTGAGTGCTGAACGATTTTGATTCCAAGCGGAATGTTCACTTTTCTTGGCGTCCAATGTTTGGAAAAGTTTCTCAGTTTGAACCAATTTGTTTTTTTTTTTTGGCAATTCTTTTGATGTTTATATGTTGTTTTGTGGTGCTGGTGACTTTCAGGCCTTCTAGTTTCGAGCTTGCTGCAACGGTCCTGCCTTAGGTAGATTTGAATGTTATTTTATCTCCTTCTACTTCACTCTCTTATGACTCTTCCCTAGCGGGAGACTCGGACGTTAAATGCATATTGTAATGGGGGATTCCAGTGCAGGTTGACTGCAAAGGGGCAGAGCGGCCAAAGGTCAAAGTCAAATGCCTGAATGTGCCTAGATTCTGCCTAATTTCAGACTGGCAGAAATGAAATACGTGAATTACCATGACAGAGGGCTTGATCATAAAGAGAGGGGATTGCTAATTTGACCCCCCCCCCCCACCCCCCACCCCCCAAAAACCTATTCTGCCCTGCAACTTCCTAATCGGGTACCGCTTTTCCCTCGACGCTTACTTTCATCTCCGCGTTCGATAGTTACCGCCTTCTGATTTTATATACCGCTTCGTGACAATAGTAGTAAGACAGCAGATACCTAAAATTTGTATGGAAGTCTCTAACAAAATCAAGTTATATTTGTCATAGTAACTGCTTCATCAACTACTCCCATCTACCAAGGAGTTGATTCCTATAGGAACTAGGTAGAAAGAATATACGATTTTTTCCGATGAAACTGCATGTTTCTTTACTTTACCGAGTAAGCCAGAAGCTGGCAGAATATATAGTCGTACCGAATATGGAAGGCGGTACTGAAAATTCAGGTAGAGTAGAATAGGTTGAGAGGGTCAAATTAGCAGTCCCCTAAAGAGAAGGAAAAAAGAAAAGAATTAGAAAAAAAACTTCGATAAGGAAAATCAAACCCCGATATTTGTTATTCGAAAGTGAGAATATGGTCTCATAGGCTAAAAGAGATATATGATGGAAACCGTACAGCGCATTTTACCACTCTTTACAACTAGACCATAAAAACCAAGGTTCCTGTTTAAGGCCCTATCCAATATCAATGATGCAATTATTATCGACACATTTATAATAGTATCTCACTCGCAAAAGTTTTGCACATTCCTACACATTACATCCTTTTACATGCTGTATCGGCCCTAGCAAGTTGAAGCGAGGAAAACTACTTCCTCTTAATCATGAGGAAAGAACGTTTGTATTCTTATTACGACCGTGAGCCTCCATGTGCGTCTTGTGGCACTGGCTCTGATGAGGTACAAGACGGTAAGCTCTACCCAGTTGCAACTTGACAATTATATCGCAATAGATCACTGAAGATCAGCTCAATGCCAGTTCGAGAATGTATCGAAGAATGTTATGGTGATAAAGAAATACCTGAATGGTTCAAGGATTGGAAGGATGACCTTTCCAAATCATGCGTGTTCCATATAGGCTGCTGGAGATTGTTGATACAACATTTCAACAACGGGGTTGTTCCTCTCGATAAATTGGCTAAAGTAGTCAAAGAAGCACCTTGGCCACAGTATCGAGCCTGTAAGTCATTGTTTACTTTTCTTATAGGTTTTGCATCCACGAGCAATTTCAAATAATCAATGAGAACTTTTAGATCATGTAATCCCAGACACCGGGACGCCTAGCTCGAGATGCTTTCGATATATCGGGTTCCGGGCCGAAGCAAAGACCTTTCCAAAGGCAGAAAACATGGAATGTGAACATCCTCTGAAGGATGAGTCCCAAGTGAATGACTGCTTTCGTCTCCTTCCACTCGAAATCCGCTTCGAAATCGCCTATCTTCTTCCAACGCCCGAATACCTCAGCTTAAGACTTGCGTCGAAAGCTATGGTTCACATATTTGAAAACCAGGAATTCTGGAAAACACGCTTCTTCATTCATCGGGAACGAGGATATCTCAACTATCTCTTGGAAGAAGGTTGTGGAGACTGGAGATTAATGTACCGCTGCACTAGCAGACTCAAGCGTCTAGCCCGGACACTACGTTTTCGAAGGCTACAGTGGCTTCATAACGAGTGGATCAAAGATAGGTGTATGATGATTGGAGCTCCAATATCTACGTCGCCTGAGAATACAGCTCAATTTGATGGCCTAGTGTGGGAAAGAGCCGCAGGAAAAGTCCAATGCGATAGGCCTTACAAATCCGAAATCCCTCCTCCATCTTCACTCGGCAATGACATCTGCCAGCGATGTCGTGGGGTGCATAACCTATTACCACCTCAGATGGTCACCATCTCTAGTGACCTCGTGGAAATCGCTGTCTCCGTACTTGCTGAAGATGAACATTCATTTATTACCGGGCTAAACCTTGTCTACGGCGAAAGTTCACCAAGCATTAGCCTTGGCTATCAAATCCCTCAAAAGCAGATCAAGATTGATCTCCGTGGTCAGCCGTTGAAAGGCTTCGAAGTCCTCGCTGGCGAAGGGGGCATCCAGGCCATACGTCCAATATTTGACCAAAAACATGGAATAAGCCGTAGCATGATTGGAAAGCCGAATGCAACTTGCAAATCGGTACTACTTAACCCAGATGGAGAGATAAAAGCCTTTGCGGGGTATTTCGATGTAAGTCAAATATGTGCTGTTCCAATTCACATGCGCAGCTTACTGACTCAATTGTAGCACTGTAGGATGGTACAATTTTCAATAGGTTCATTGCGTCCAGAATCATTTTGCTGAGCAGAGAGACGCAAACTAAGATGTCTAGTTAGTTAACTAACTTGCTGAGATTTACGAAATCTCAGATTCTCGGATCTGGCTTCTAATTGGTCGAGAATTTTGTATCGACGTGACTAGGGCTAGTCACGTTACTACTGGCCCTCTATAATATCTATTCATGACTTGCTAGTACCTAGGTAGGGTCCTTTTAAATGTCATGGCCTTCTGCCAATTGCTACCAATACGAATCGTCTATTTTAGCCTATCATTCGATCGACCTTTCTCTAGAGGCCTATGGCATCGAGAGGAAGGCTTTAGAGAGCTTCCGGGCTCGTTGCCTGTTAGTAACTTAGATGTCATGATCTACCATAGATCGCTATCATATGTTTTATTTTTGCTTGCTCGCTTATTATTTGCATTATTTATCAGTTTGCATTAGATGGATTGTTTGCTAGACGGCTAAGCGAGATGTTTGAGGTTTGCAACGTTTGCAAAGGGACAGCTATATCAACTGGCTGCCTCCCACTCCACATGGCAACTTGCCTCTTCTTTCTCTCCACCCTAGTTATTTTGAATTAAAAGCACTCTTCCTCTCTGAGACCTGGCACATTACATTATAACTAAGATCCCCAGCTACGCGGTCCTATAGTTTGATTATTAGCATTTCCGCTTTCGTACACTGCATAGAGGTCTCATATTGCGAGTATACACTCGGCAAAAGCGTCTTTTCTCTTTTAGGTAGTCCGGTGACGCGACAGACTTCAGGTTGCGAGCTAGAGACTAGACTGCTCCGGGACGTTCAGTAGCCGTGCGCAAGAGACTGTTCGGACCCTCGATCCAGAACCCGGATTTTTTCTTTTCCTTTTCGAAACCCGAATCCACCTTTTTTTCTTCTTTTCAAAACTTCCAGGTAATGGTTCCATGGAATCATCGTGCGACAAATCATGCTGGCGAGACTGAGAAGTTGACGTTGAATCTCGGAAGGTGGTCTTGCACGAATAGCGGCATCCAAGTATCGTAATTAGTTGACCGGTAAACTGACTCTAGATCTGGGAGAGGATCTTAATGTTTTGGCGGTATGTAAATGAAGAGATAAGTTGGTGTTGAGCCTGGACCTGTTGAATGTTGAAAGTTTGAATTTCGACTAGAGCTGCTGAATCACGCTATAAAGGTTGACAAAAGTTATAGTGCATTCAGCGCGAAGCTCTGGACGATATTGGTGATCCATTTTGACGAAGATCCAGAAGAGGTAGGCTATTTTTTCAACATAGATATTAAAGAGGGGACCCTGTGACGGGGTCACCAGGGATACCGACAGCCCTGCCTGTGAAACAGGTGTAAGAGCAAATTCACCACTGGGAGTGGTAGGGTGCTTGAGAGGACAACACCATGGGGTGACTACTCAGAAGAGAAGGTGAAGGGTGTTTGCGTTCACTTCTCAGTCTCGCTAGCATGATCTGTCGCACAATTATCCCAACTTACACATAACACAACAATACATTTTTTGATCAACTTGGCGTGTGCACGACAACTACAACAAGATTCAGGGAGACCGTCTCCCTTTCCAATTCGCAGGACACATTCCAATTGTTCATTAGCTTACAACCATATCTCTATCTCTCGTTCTATATCATTCCCCTTCACCGAACACATGCATTTTTTTCTTGTCCTGCTTCCACGTATCTCCATATACTAACCCCGAGATCTATAACGCTTGATCAAGCCAATGAACGCCAAAAAAAACCCGGTATCAATTCCTCTACATCCTCCTACTCCTTCAACCCTACTCACGAATAATATTTGCATTGCCTCTTGGCCTTCTTTCTTTTGAGCTTCTCAACCGGCCTCGCATAGGCACGGCTTTCACGGTTGGAAAGAAATTCATATCTTTCCTACAACCGAACGAAGCCGTCTACTTTACTCCTAGTTTAGCCCCGAACCATTACGGTGTTTTTCTGCTATTAGCCTTACGCCAGTTTCTCCCTATCAACATAATATATTGAAACCCTTCAATGTGCCAGTCTGGAGCTTGAAAGTTGCCTGCTACTACACATTTATCACATGCGACACTGCCCCCAGTGTTTGGCTTGAGAATACCCCGACTGCCATTGCCAATCATCCTCCGGTTTCGACTCATTCTAGTACTCCTAGCAGTACTGCTAAAGTGAGCTCCACTGTAGTCGCTACTCCTACACTCTCGTTCACTTACTGTCTCTGTCCCTGCAGCTCTGTCCTCTATCGTTACTGGCAATTTGCCCACAGTTGCACCGACCAGTCGATTGTCCTCCGTTATACCTGTGACTCAACTCGCCGTGATTCCCGTACCGATTCCTCACCACCTGTTGTCGCAAACGCGCGTGCATTCTTTATCATTCTGCATCAGCGTAACTCCATTCAACCGCGAGATCTGCAGCGCTTTATCAAGCCAACGACCACCAAACAACAACTTGATAGACATTACTCTATTCTCTCAATATCTCAACTCTACAACAGCACTCAGCGAGATGGCTGTAAGTCCATGAGAGCTTCAATGTATCAGTTCATGACACTAATATATAAGTACAGTACCAGACACAGCCAATAATAGCTTCCTACATAGCGAAGATTTTACCTGGGACCCGAGAGGTTGAAGTTGACCACCTCCGTATTACGATCGCTATGCTTGTTTGTTTGTTTGCTTGTTTGTTATTGGCATTATTGCAAAGCGGTCAGTAGACAGCTATATTAACTAGCTGCCTCCCACTTTGCAACTTGCTTCTTCTTTCTTCCTTCTCTCTTTATCTTAGTTATCTTCGTCGGAATACACTCTTCTATTGTATATGCACTCTTTCTTTATTGATCGACCTGGCACGTCATACTCTGGACAAACCTCCTCGCATATTATTTCCCAACCACGCAAACCTACGGCGTTGAACGGGAAGCCTATATCCGATCTAGGTCGCAGACCAGGGCGAACGTTTGCGTGAGCACGCTAAGTGATGGTAAAATGTTCAATGTGATTATGGTGGAGAACAAAAAAGCCTCGACGTCACGAAGTGCTCATCCAACGCCCGGTTCTTGGACTCATGCAGAGGGATAACTACTAGGCTACATGCTATCCCGCCGTGGCAATCAAGAGAAAGATCTTCGGCGTCTATTTGGAATAGTAGGCATTGGAAGGTACGTTAGGTTCTATCAACTCATACGAGGAACGACCGAGCTCGAAGATTATAAAGATGGTGCGACCTACCACTTGGATAATGATGGCTTAGCGATTGAGCGAACGATTTTAGCGATAAAAAGCTACATCGATAGATATCGTTGATATAGTTCACGGTTTTGTTGATTGTTTCTTTCGTGCTTTTTTGTTTCCATTCGTTTACTTTTTTACCTTTTATCTGCTGTCTTCAGTCTGTTTTTTTTATCTTTATGGAGCTTATTATTACCATTTTGTTTCGGGTGCTCTTTATAGAGTATCGTAGTATATACCCGTTGAATAACACACACGAATTCGACTAGTTCAACTACTCGATTGGCCACACGGCAACTATAGGCAGTTCTGTCTGTGGGGGCTATAAAACCCTATATTAAGCGCTAATCATCCGGACCTTAGTAGATCCTACTGGACCAGCGGTACTAGAAATACATTTGGCGTTTATTTACTGATTATAAGTAGCTGTACTCCGCAAAAGGCGCGGGCTTACAAAGGCGCGAAACCTTCGGTCCTGCCTTTGCAGGTTGACTAAGCGGTCACGTGATATAAAACACCCCTGAGGCACAGATAGTAACGCAAACACCCTCCACCTTCTCTTCTGAGTAGCCACCCCATGGTGTTGTCCTCTCAAGCACCCTACTACTGCCGGTGATGAATTTGCTCTTACACCTGTTTCGCGGGTAGAGCTGTCGGTGTCCCTGTTGTCCCCGTTATAGGGTCCCTCTTCAATATCTAAGTTGAAAAAGTTGGAAAAATAGCCTGTCGCTTATGCGGTCTCTATAACTACCTAACGATACCGAACTTGACCAATCTAAATAACTATCTAGGTGGTATTGATATGGGAAATTTCAAGATTACGATGTCTCTTTTGTTTAAAAATGTCTGTTTAGAATAACTAACCACAAACTGTAGGATAAACTAAAAATCCGCATACGCAATGTCACATATGAAACCTACATGCCTTTTCCTTTGTTGGCATCACGTAATTTCTTCACTATCCCGGGGTCGGTGAGCTCACGCGGTTGGGTATGTACCATTCAGAATCGCAATCGAATAGCCGGGTTAAGTTGAAATATACGTACTTTGTTCGATGAGGACGTTTCAATCGGAACGGCAAGTAGTGTGCGATACATCAAGCGATACTAACTAAGCAGGTTGGATCAATCGCGTGACTGGAAGATATACTCGTGGTCGAGACAAATTATTCCATTAAGAATGTCCTCTTTGTAATGCTGAAGGAGGCGGATAACCATCGCAACCGAATCCACAAGCGAAAGGGTAGAATCTATGAGAGGAAATGAAAGGAATAACCGAGCTTCTTCGTGCATAGGCCCATCGCTTACTTCGTATTTGACTAATAGAAGCTTTTCGATCAAAAGATCCACCACTGCCTCGTCGGTCAGGACGCGGTGGCGGTGTCACCCACTGCACTCGTTCAGCCAAGTTATGATCTTCAAATACAGGATGGCCATTCTCAAGGAAGATAGTTCTAGGGGGAGACATTTTCTAACTGAATGCGATATATCTGGGACTTTGGTTTTGCGATTTTGGTGAGTTGCAATGGACTTTCTGCCTGATGATATGGACTTAGTTATACTGGAGTCTATCTAAGCATGTGAGGTGGAATTATCTACATTAAAATAGCTTTGACGTGGACCAAGTTCATTCATTCATTCTTAGTTCGAGATAATAGAGTTCTTTACATTCACAAATGCAACAAAGCCGTTTCGTTCTGTATCATATGCACGCTAGGTTGAAAGGAGCAATGAGCCAAAGGACATCGAATAATATTTCTCCTTACATTTGCAAGATTACAACCCTTATGAAAGGTTCAATGATGATTGTAG